GCTCGGTTAATAAGAGCTAAATCCTAGTCATTCGCGCGCTGTGATTGGCTAGCGCGCGGTCCGGTTTTTCACGATCTACCCGGTCACGGTATCCTGCTGCTAGGTTCCGAGCAAAGTTGCAGAAAATACAAATAAAAAAGAGTAAAATGTTATTTACCGGCTATAGTTCGGTCCGTACTGTCAAGACCTCGGGCATTGTTTTACCCCTTGAAATATCAAATCCTTGATACAAAGTCTAACACAAATTTTGAAAAAGTGGAAGAACTTTTCTCGTATAGTTCCGTATAATCCGGCAGCGCATTTCCGTTTTGTAAAAATTTAAGTGGTATTATAGCTGTCTARCCCTTGATAAGGGGATACATGAAAAGCTCATGTAAAAGCGATTTTGAGAGTTTAACCTTGTTTATTTATTTAGATCACTCTAATACAGTTACAGTTGAATCAGCCCTCGCAGTTAATCTAGGCCTCTGTCATCATTTTATCTTAACATTTATCGAAGAATTTTCTCATATTACATACTTTTCCTCTTATTGCTTACTTTTGTTCTTTCTTCTTTTCCTTGTAAACCTRTAAATAAGTTGATATATTTATACTAGTTTTCTTTTTATCATCGYCTTCGCCTCGAATAGTCCTCAGTATGAAGCCTTTAGCTCTTCAATAATCGGTCGATAAAAAATCGTCTGCTTTTTCTAAAATCTCGAGAGAGATGCTCTTAATCGTTGTTAAGAGTTTTCAAAACACTAGATTATTGTGTGTGAATATCAACTGGCTGGTGTTGAAATTATGTGCTTCCAAAAATCAAACGATTTCAGAAGAAAATACTGGGCTTAAACATTGCAGCCTAAAAGAACGTATTTTCAGAATATATAAACACTGTTTTGTCACATTTTTTGCGCATATTTCAAGATCTCCTGTTTTGATTTGATGTCTTTTTTTCTGTATTTAAAAATATCCATTACTTTGTGTATTCCCGAATTTCTCCACTGAAAAAAAAAACAAC